ATTTATCAATCTGTAATAAAAGACGTGAGGAAATTCTGTCTTTTTTAAAGACAAAAATTTTTGAGGCGAAATACTCAAAAAGAAGTTTGTAAAAACCAGAACAAATGCCATAAGAAATACTAAAATGCATCAACAAGACGAAGTGTTGGAAGGTGAAATAGTGATTAAGGAATCTGTGAGTAGCAGTTAAGCGCCACGTAAAGAAGAAGGAAAAGCTGCATTTTTGGCCTAATTGATGATTGGCCAATGGATTTGATAACTGATTTTGGCCTAAATGCATTATCCACGCAGCAAGCTCTTCAAATGTCTTCAGAAGCATCAAAAAAGCTCTAAATTACATGCCCTAAATTGCAGTCGAAAACTCTCAAAGAGAGACGTTGGAATACACATTTTTTTGCAAATACACAACTTACTTTACTAATCATAGGATGTTCCAGGTAAGTCAAAAATCTGCACGTTAAGTTTCTAAAGTGGCACTCGTAGTCTTCCGTTTGTATCGCCGTGCTGTTCCAGTCAAAATCCGCACAAAGAGTGGTCATGCTTTCGTTATTAACAATGCCCAGTTTTAAGTGTTTTGGATCCGTGCCCACCGAATTGGCGAAGAACCACATTTGAAGCAGCGGAAACGTCAGAAGAAAGAGAACACCCCTAAGACCTCACTCAATCACATCAGTTCAACTGGCTGGTTCCCCAGTTCTTACCCAATGTTTCGATAAAACTGCGTCCAATTTTTGCTTAGAAGTGCTTTCATTCGTTTCGGGTCTATCGCGGTCCCGGACATGTAGACGGATTGCTCCTTCTTGCTTCGGCGTTCCTTGGCTGAACTGATTCCCAATGCCTAGAGCAAAATCTTAGAGCCAAAAAACTCACCTAATTCCACTCCCAACTTACGTCTTTCGATCCGTAGTTTGCTGGAAAGCTTTCAACTGAGGTGGAAGTCGAGCCTTGGTCAGTTCCACCGATGGCTTTCGTGTTATTCAGTTGATCGTTCTGCTTCTGGCTCAAAATGAAAAACGCCTCTTCCAAGGTGTTGGTTTGGAAGGTTGCCAGCAACTTGTTCGGGGTTTCTTGGATCATGATTTTTCCTTTTCGCATAAAACCCACCTAAAAACAGTGAGGGTTTTAACCAAAAACACTCTTTCGCTCAGTTTTTGAAACCCTCACGGTGTTCGCTTCTTTAGCTTCCTCGATATAGTGAGTTGTAATGATCACAGTGGTTCTCTTTGTATTGACTGTGTCCTTCAGATGGTCCCATATCCTGAAAGGAATTGTCGTGAAGCTAGTTTCTCATTAGGGTCTTATAAGGACTTGCTTTTCCCTCAAAATCGGGTCGACTCCCACAGTGGGTTCGTCTAAAATGAGCAGTTCTGGACTATGGACTAAAGCGGCAGCAAATGAGACTCGTCGCTTTTGGCCTCCGCTGCAGTGCTTCAAAAACCTGGACAATACAAGCCAGTTGCTCTTTGCTATTTAGAGATTTTTCCAAAATTACTTGCTCCCATCGGGAAGCTCCAGCAGCTTGCTCAGGTACTCGAATCGCTCTTTTATGTCTTTGGCTTCCATCTTGTAGATGGTTCCGAAGTAGTAGATGGCGTCTTTTACGGTAAACTCCTCTACTAGAGCCAGCTCCTGAAAGGACATTGGTTGAGACAATTGGGCGATTGATTGCACTTTAGGTACTTGTGGCATATATCCGATTTTCGGGCCAGGGACTCCGCTTCCCTTTTCTCCAGGTCGGCCTCCAAGCACCCATATTTCTCCCGAGTTGGTACTTTTGCGGCCCACAATGCAGCTGAGCAATGTTGTCTTTCCACATCCGCTGGCACCCAGAAGTCCATATCTACAATTCAACGATTTTTTTCGCATTTTTTTGCATATGCTTTGAGGGTTTTGGGTAATTCTTGTTCAAAAAAGGCAATGGACAGTTGAAGTGTAGTTCTATTTTTAATTATTTGTAAAAATATTGCTAATTCTACTGGAGTTGCTTATACAGAGCGGGTTCAGTTAGTGATTGAGGCATTTTTGTGAAATATCAGATTTTTTGTGTCAAAATAAGAGGATTTAACCAATGATGCCCTAGTGAAAGTGGCTATAAAAGTGCAAAATTTTATGAAAATGTAGCGAGAGACTTGCAGGTGAGCGAGTGAGTTAACTCGGCGGCATTCCAAGTCCATTTTGACAAAGCAACATTTCGATAGGTTTGGTGTATTATCTAGCAACATATGTTATAGATGTATATAAATCTCAT